TTGGTGGGGGAGTTCTGGGCATAGAACTCAGGGGCACTCGACCACTGAGTTACATTCCCAGCCCTATTTTATATTTTATTTAGAGACAGAGTTTCACTGAGTTGCTTAGCACCTTGCTTTTGCTGAAGCTGGCTTTGAACTCCTGATCCTCCTGCCTCAACCTCCTGAGCTGCTGGGATTATAGGAATGCACCACTGTGCCCGGCATATTATGGACTCTTGAATTAAAAGGTGCTTTATTTTTTATAGGTGCTTAACTCAGCAATAAGCGCTGGAAAAGAATTTCAATCAAGTTCAGTTTCCTTGCCCTTAGCCAGGAAAAAAACAAGTTTCATTTCATATGAGATCCAAAGTGGTTAGGTGGCTGGCTGATGGCCCTGTGTCTGATTTTCTATGGTGCAAACTAGAGTCTTTGTCTCCTGTCTACAAAAACAAGGCCTTGTCTACAGCATCTCACAACCAGGATAAGAGGTTTCAAAGAAGACCTCCTCCCCATCCAAGGCAGGCCCACTTGAATATTGCTAGGTAGTTCTTAAAGGTGAAAATTATGTTAATGATCATAATCACCCAACTTCAATTTGGTTGGTTCAGAATGAGAAATTACAGGACATTTTCATTTAGTCAGAAAATAAACTGTTTTTTGGAAGAAATTAGAGGGGGAAAACTGATATACTTATTTTGTAATGAGAAAGTTAAAACAAACATTTATAGGACTTCTTAATTAATCAAATGTGCACACATTCAATGAATAAGTGTAGACAACCTTGATTCTTTTTTTTGTTTATCACAAAAGAATACATTTGGAAGAAAGCTTTCAAAACTTTTGGGGTGTAGAAAGGGGACAAATTTGGCATTTAACTTTAGTAAATGTGGGGAGAAAGAAATAAAATATCCACCATGAAAACTATCTGTTCCTTTACCAATTAAATCTGTGTCCTTGGTAGATGTGTCACCTATTCCACCTGCAGAAGATGCCTGTAAATTTGTGTCTCTCCTTTGGATTCAACTTGTCTTTCACAGCAAGAACCACTGAATCAGTCAGGTTAAGTTTGTTTTCCATTAGCAGTTAAGTCTGTTTTCCATTGTCATGTAGATTATAGATTTACACCTATAATCCCAACAGCCTTGGAGGCTGAGGCAGGATCACAAATTTAAAACCAGCCTCAGCAACTTAGTGAGGCTCTAAGCAACTCAGTGAGGCCCTAAACAACTCAGCAAGACCTTGTCTCTAAATAAAATATTAAAAAGGGCTGAAGATGTGGCTCAGTGGTTAAGCGTCCCTGGGTTCAATCCCTGGTACTAAAAATAAAAAAGGAATCACTGAATCATGGATAAACTTGGTAAGCACTAGAGGTGTTTAGGCCCATTAAGTAAGCAAAGGTTGTATTGTAACACAAAATAGAAATATTAGAGGTGGTGTTCCTTCTTGTTTTAAGTGTGTCTGAATCCATGAAGGAGATTTCAAGTTTCCAAAAATTATATGTATATTTAAATTTTCCTTCCCCTTAAGCGCCCTAAAAAACGTTGTCTATTTAATGAAACCCTAGGGTAAATCCTAAGAGCAGAGTTCTATGTTCATGACAATTTTGATATCCTAACTTATCTGTTTGCTAAACCTCCTCTCTGTTCAAGTTATCTGAGAGCAAAGGCATATTTGTGTCGTAATAATTTGATAATAGCTATTTCCTAAGATGCTTCCTTGGGCACTACAATAAAGCTAACACCAAGGCCCAGTCTATGGGATATGAAACAACCAGTCAAAAGAAAATCAGTTAAGTTTGTTTTCCATTATCATGTAGATTTTTTTTCTTAATACAAACAAGAGTAATAAAATGCAGTTGTGCGATTTATTTCCTCTCTAACAAGTGGAGTTGAGTATATTATACACATATTATCACTTTTAAGGAAGAAGTTCAATCAAATCAATTTTGGGCATTGGACAAAGTTAATAAATTGGCTGCAAGTTATATCTACCGTTGCTGCTGACACAGTGCAAGCCCAGGATATTGAGTACCCCAAGGAAATGAATGCTTGAAGTACGAAGCAAATTATCTAAGACCAGAGGACATAAACTTTCTATAACAGGCCAGACGCTTATCACTATAGGCTTCACGTGATGTACTGTCTCTGTCACAACTATTCAATACCATCATCAAAGCAAAATAGCCCCAAATGAGATGCAAATAAAGAGGCATGTGTTCTAATAATTTTATTTACAAAAACAGGCAGTTGGCCTGATTTGACACCCAGGCCATATTTGCAGATCACTATTTTAGACACTTGGAAAATGTCACTAGATCCTAACACCCAAGAATATTTTTGATTGAGGCTTTTTAATCTCTTCTAATCAAAGAGTAGAAAAGGACATACAAGAAGGAATTTGGTATAACCCTGATGACTCAAGATGGGCTTACCAGATGGAAGATGTCTGGTAGGGAAGGCAGTCACTGACCTGCTTATCAGAGAACTTGATATCACTTCGCCCATATTCTCTACTTTAGTTCTCGCAAAAACTAATTAGAATCCCCATTTTCCAGATTTTTAAGAATGTGAGAAGGTGAAATAACTCAGTTGATACCTACCTGTCAAATCCAGCCCTATCTCATTCCAAAACTCATTCTGTTTTTTCTGTTCCATGACTAGTTGGTGCAGATGTAAGTTCTATGCTATGTGGGACAGGCAGGCAGGGCCAAGTGCAGAACCAGAGAGAGAATCTGCGATTATACAATTGGCCAGTCAAGTAAATTTTTAATCCATAGTTGGGGCCTGAAGATCACTTCTCTGTGCCAGCAGTTCAGAGTATTGTCACGCTATTCTCGGATCTAGCAAAGCCTGTGTTCACATTTAGTCCACAAACAGGGGTCATGGACCAGGTAAGAAGGAGGCAACTTTTACAAAGTGAATGTTTTCTTAACCCTTTCCAGAACCCCAGGGCACAGTCATTTCACCTCATGCCTCGAGGGTGTTTTCTGAAAAAAGAAAGTGCCTTTTCAGCACTCTTGGTGTCTGATTTCAAACCCTGCCCTTCCATCGGTGATTCTAAGTGGGTTGATGATGCCGCCCTGTTTTTACTGGTTTTCCCACAGGGTTTAGTCATCCAGGTGCCCTCCCTGAGTACCACATACGTGGGTCCTGGTTGAGAGGATAGGGGCAGTGCACAGGGCCTTTCCTAGTTTTCTTTAAGGTTCTGAAGGACAATTGAAGAAAACTATGATGTGCATTCATTTGAACATGTGGAAAAGTTCACCCCCATTTATTCCACTGAAGAGCTTACATATGGTCCCCTTTTGATGGAGTTTTTGCTATACCTGGCTAGCCCTCAAGGATATGAGCAAAAAGCATACCCTTTGGCATCCCCCTTTTTAAAAAAAAAAAAATACACTTTTCATCTCTTAGGGAATATTAGAAAATAAAAAATGTAGTGTGTAACTAAGAAGAGAAAATATTACCTGGAGAAGTAACCCATCTCAGAGGCTGAAGCAGACAGAACCAAGCAGTTAGCATCATTTGCTAAGGATAGCTCTGCAAAAGGGGTATTGTTTTTACCTCCATTTTTAAATATAAGAAACAAAAGAACTGAAAAAAGGAGGGACTCACATAAAACCCAAATAATTCAGCTCAAAGTGGGAGGTCATAAGGATGCTTAGAAAACACATTAAGGCCCCCTGCTCTAACCCACAAAGCGCTCCCAATGGTATTGGCTGTCATTGCTTCCGGAAGGATAGGATATTTCTTCATCCTCTTTCTGGTCAAGTTGTACAACATCCAAAGTAAAATGTCCTAATTATCTTGGAAGGAGTCCATAACTCTAAATCCAAATTAAAGTTCATTTCTTTTCATTTACAAAAAAGCATCTCTCACCACAATATGAAAAATGTTGAAGTCACTCCTCTGTGTCTTGCATTAACAAATTCCAATTCCAGAGAATTTACACAAGAAATAAAAACAACAAATTGATTATAATGGGACTGTAAGTCACATTTTAATTAATGAATTTATATTTTCAGAACTTCAAAGTATCCAATAGAATAGTCAATTATAAAATAAACTTCCTAATTCGCCTTTTTCTGTAAATCTAGATTCTCTTAGACTAAGTTTGCTCTGGAGGTAGGTATGCCTGAATTAATTGAAAGGCATTTTAAAGAACTAAGCACCTTTAAAAAGAATAGAGCAATTTTTTTGGTGACACTTCTTGCCTGAAGAAGTACAGAACTGAACTCCCATAAGCTTCATCTCTCAAGAGATTGTCTATTTACTTCATTTACCTCATAAAAGAAATATTGCAGATAATCTCTGTATGATTTCAATGATGAATAACACAAGTTCCTGTTTAGTCCACATAATGGAAAATAAAGTTCACAGTTGTTCCATCCAACTCCAGGGATAAAAATCAAGGTCAAAGAGACACCTCCTTCCTTTCCACACTGGGACATACTAGTCTTACCACAGCATGGGAAAAAGAACAAGAGGCCAGAGAGCAAAGCGAATAAAGACCCACTTCTCAAAAATCAGTTTTCCACCTTGTGTCAATGCATTGACTTTCAGCAGAGAGCTAAAAAATTCAGATAGAAACAGGTCCCCCAAACTAAACAACGGGCTGAAGAGTATCTGCCTATAAAAATAAAGCCCCTCATGTAAACAACTGTACCACTTTCCCCTCCGGCCCCAACCCTGTATCACATCTGGCTTTTGTTTTGTGAATCATAAACTGCCCTTTCTTCACCACAGTGATTCATGCACAGAAGCAGAGATATGATGAGCTGTCCCACCTTGGGACACTAGCTCATCCCCCCCACCCAGCCTGGAAAATCAGCATCACCTCTGACAGGTTGGTTTCTCTACCAGGCTCCATCTCGCCCACCCCCTTCCTTTCTGCTCCCCAGCTTGGAACCCAGGCCCTGTAGCCCCATCACCACCACCTCCCCAACTCCAAGCCAAGGGTGATCTCCTGGCCCCTGACTCTGCTTACTTGGCTTTGACAGCCACAATCAAACCACTTACGTTTTTGCCAGAGCATGGCCTGTGACAGGATGTTGCCTTTTTTCTTTGAAGCAGACAGTTTGGCTTCTTTAATGTGAGACCTGGGTGTGCTTTCCTCCAGTGGAACCACCGCTTGCTCTGAGGCTGCTTCCTCGGCTTTTTAAAGGCCTGAGTTCCCGCTGCGTGGGGGTACGTCATCACATCCTCCCACCTGAGGCACGGGTGCACTTTTTCTTCAGCAACGCTGCCTGTCACCCCACTATGTGTGCATCCTCAGAGGCCCATTGGCTATAGAGAGTGCTTCACACCAGAACCAGCCAGCTGGGACTGAACAACCACAAAGCACAGGAGGCCGCGGCCATCTGCACAAAGCCACAGTGTGATGTCCCGCGTGTGAGAGTGTGAAGGTCTGTATGGGTGAGATGGTGTGAGTAACCACGTCAAGTCTTGAATCTCTTTCTTTTGAGGATCCCAAAAGAACCTCTGGAAAATGCTGGTTTTTCTCTGGTGCTCGTTCTGGGTTCCACCACCAGGACTTTGGCCAGACTCGGCCTGCCATGGGCGCCTGCTCAACGGGAAATGCGATTCCCAGGGGTCACTGATTCTCAACATGGGAGGAAGCACCTGTCCTCACTTCAAGCCTCACTAAACAACCTCCTCCTCCTTTAATATTGCTTTTCTGTTTATTCTACTTTGAAATGCAGTGGCCCCTCCCCTAGCCCCAGTCCCCACCAAAATGGCAAGCCTTAATTTTGTTTAAATATGGAGGACATTAGTTCTGATGATAGATATATCCACAGCAAAAGAGGCCAATTCAGGGAAGAAAGGAGAAGATGCCCACACTCCTTAAATGGAGCTGGTTTCTCAAAGGGGTTTTGTTGGCACAGTGAGAACAGGGCCTCTCTCCTAGTGCCCCCCACCTGATTAACAGGAAGCTTCACAAAGGAGGAATAATGGGTTTAACACTTATAGTGTATGGGTGTGAGCCACAAGGATTCTTCCCAGTTTGGAAGCCTTCTGTCACTATGTATCTGAAACCCACAAGTTCAGGATCCAGTGACCCAATCAGTCTGGGGTCTAGACCACTTGGCTAGGACCCCCTACGGCACGCCTGGGGCCCTGCAGCTCTACAGGTCTGGGGCCTCAGAGCAATCTTGCATCTGACCCTCCCAATCTCAAGGGTCAGATGCAAAAAATTTTTTCTCCTTCTGCCTTCAGCCACAGAGCTGGGGGCATATAAAGCCCCTCCCAGTGTAGCCCTTGCCTTCCTCTCCAATGCATCTCCACTGCCCTCCTACCACTGACTCCCAGTGCCTTTCTAAAGCACTGCTGAATATCTGTGCAAACCCCTACTTTGACCCTCTGTCCTCTCTTGCTGGGTTCCTCTCCCCCCTTTCATCTCCTCTCCCTATCTGAAAATCACCTCTTTGTTTTTCAAGATCCAGCTCAAATGTACCTTTTTTATAATTTAAAAAAAAAAAAAAAGTACTCTGACTCACCAAACCTCCTGGCCCAGAAAATATCCATCCATTTTTCTTAGCTGTTGGAGCACTTGGTCTGGTCACTAAATGAAGGAAAATTGTTGCATGACCCTGTAGGTTCCTTAAGGAGGCTTCACACAGGACCTGGGCCATTCTGACCTCTGAAAAAGCTTCACTACATAAAGTTATGAATGACTGCATCTAATGGATTGTTTGTTTGAGGGCAGGTCATAGAGGAGAAATGTTCACATAAACAACTCACTCACAAGAGAGTGAGGGCTGTCTCCTGGCTGAGTTTTGGGCCTCACCCAAAGCCTCTAACTGCAGGAGGATGGACAGCCTTGCTGTGAAGGTAGCAGGGTCATAAAGCATTGGGCCTCTTAGAAGCTTCCATTGCAAACAGTGGCACATCCATCAGGCTTGGCTCAATCCCAAGAGACGTGGGTTTCCATGAAGGTTCTGCCATTCACTTCTGTGTCGCCTTAAACAAGTCACAAAACACTTTTAGTCTCAGTTTCCATGTTTATAAAATAAATAAGCAATTCTCTGAATGTCTCATAGATTCCTCGGAGGATGTGAACCCTGCTGGCCCTCTCTCACATTGATCGTATTTTGGCTCCTATTTTCTCCAAGTCCATGAAAACAAGAACTTCTTATTCATCTCTGTTTCTCCTCACAGGCCTAGCATAACAATTTTCATAAACTAATAAAAATAACTACTTACTGTGTCCAGACTCCAAGTTCAGCCTTAAATACATTATCTGATCTAGTCCACACACAACAACTCCATGAGGAAACTTCTATCTGTATTGTTTCAAGAAACAAATGCTTAGGAAATTTAATTTGCCCAGTGTCACAGGGCTACTACACTGTTGGGTAAATGTCAGACTTAAGTTCATCTGATGACACCCACAGCTCTAAATAATTATACTAGTAGATATTCATTAAGTTGGAATCAGTGAAGGGCAAATGGCAGTCATGTTTATTAGTACCAATGCAGGATCACTATGATTCAAACCTGGTGCACATCAGTAGAAGCTTATACCCTCTGGGGTAAATCCCTACCCTCTAGAAACAGGGAGCAGGGGAGACCCAGAGATGCACCCATAAATCAGATTTTGTACACTGGCAGACACAGCCAAATAACAGAGGAAGGGAAAACTAATGGCGGGACACACAATAGTGAAATTTTAAAATAACTAACACAAGGAGAAAACTCCAAAATTTTACTGAGAAAAGTATATTAACAACTAAGCATCAAGAATCAGAATAAAAGTACACTTCTCCATAGCAAAATCAGATGCAAACAGACAATGAAGAAGTATTTTTAAACTATTGAAGAAAAAGAACACTGAACCTGTAATTTTTAAATCCAGCCAAACTGCCATTCAAATATCGTAGCATAACAAAAATATCCTGAGACCTGCAAGGCCTCACATTAAAATTGCTCTTTGAGGAAGTATTCAAATGAAAAGAGCTACCTAGGAGGATGTTACAAGAAATACCAGAACAAAAGATCATGAAATATCTGGATCAAGCTTATTATAGGAATTTTCTTAAAACTGGAAACAAAAAGAGAAATTGTATCTATAATAACACAGAATATATAAAAAAAATCTACATGCTTGCCACAAGTCCATGGGACATCATTTATATTATTTTCTACTTAATTTTGTGATATGAAGTTCTAAGGGAAATTTGATTTTACTAATGTTTTTGTTGTATAAAGAGGAAAATACAGATTGAATAACCTTTATCTGAAATTTTAGCATCAAAAGCATTTCAGATTTCAGACTTTTTAAAGATTTTGGATTATTTGCATATACATAGTGAGATATCTTGGGTAGAGACCCCCAAGTCTAAACACAAAATTCACTTATATTTCATTTACACCTCATATGCATAGCCTAAAACTAATTTTATACAATATTTTTAGCATATGCATGTTTTGACTGCAATCTGTCACATGGGGTCAGGTGTGAAATTTTTCACTGGTGGTGATAGGTAAATACTCAAAAGTCTCTAATTTTAGAGCATTTGAATTTGGCATTTTCAGATTAAGGATGCTTAACCTGGAGAGGAAATCAATGGCAGAAAATAAACGTGTGAGGGCCAACTGCCACTTCTGTTCTTACCATAAAAACAGAAATAGAATGTTTTATTTTTAAACCAGCGAAAGAAAACTGGACCTTTCTATGGAAAACAGGAAGGAAGTATTTTTAAAAATACAGTGAATGGAAAATAAAAATGAGATAACAGGATGAGTTCTAATATACAGTAATTATAAAAATATTAAAAGATTAAGTTTACCAATTAAAAGACACAGATTCAAGAATTTAATTCAAATATTTTAAAAGATCCAATAATGTTAAGTTATAGTTCAATAAAACAAACTACAGAAAATTTGCAAATAAAAAAATTAATGTAACCTTGATTCTAAAGCTCCATAAGGTCAATATAAGAAAATTATAGGCCATTTCATTTGTGAACATAGACTCAAGAATCCTAAATATTAGTTTGTAGAATACAATTCTGTATTAAGAAATAAAATTACATCATGAAATAATAATGATACATCATAATACAGAGTTCATGTAAGGAATGCAAGGATGGTTTACTCTTAGTATACCTATCAATATAATTCAACATACTGATGAACTGTAGGAGGAAAAATTAGGACATTATCTCAATCACTGTCTAAACATTTGATGAAGTACAACATTTGTTTTTAATGTTAGAAAAAAAATTAGAAAATTTGGACTAGAAGTACACTTCCTTAGCTTGGTAAGGCATATACCAAAAGTCTACAGAGATATTATACATATTGGAGAAATTGTAAACAAATTCCTTCAAAAAAAACAAGTTGTCCTATTGCATTATGTTATTCATTTCCAAAAAGTTTTATCTACAATTTCCAGAAACACATGTATTAAACACAAAAAACATGTGAATTATATCATGTTATTGTGCCAAATATTATTCCAGACTTTGGGGATACAGCAATAAACAAACCAAAAATTGTTAGCAACATACAGACAGATAATTGGTGTTGGGTAGATAGAAAATCCAACTGACATTCTTCAACAAATGATTTGTCATCAATGCAGATACGGATATACTAAAGCATAGAAAAATTGATGGCCTACAGGCTTAACAATTCCTAGACACTGAAAAAAGTCTGTGGCCAGACATTCAGTGCCATTTTTAAAGTCTGATGAATTTCTTGACCTTAGAATTGGGAGAGAAGGGGAGTACCAGAGTGATTTTAAAGGGTACCCATGAATTCCATATGCATATAAACATTTTCCTTGGCAGACAGTCCATAGAGTTCATGAACCACTGCTCATACCCAAGGTTAAGAACTACTGTTTATTTTAAAGAAGTACTATGATATCAAATTTTGAAATATGAAAGAGAAATTGCTTAAATCTAGCTAGAACAATAATGGGCTCTGAGGTAAAATACGAAGTCCACAGGTAAAAAAGTAAATTCCATTGCTGCCTACAATAAATTTCTCACATTTCTTTACATACTGCATCAGTTAAGCCCATTTCTCATTTCTCCAGCAATTTTATAGCATTTCATTCTTTGGCATTTCATTCTTCCATCTAGGGGAATCAGGAAAATATAGTGAAGAGATTATTTAATTTACATTTGGAGAGCTTTGTTTGGAATCTGACTGTACTGCAAATGTGAAGACTTGTGAGTTGTTTAGGTTCTCCTAGTTGTAGCTTATTCCTCTTCAAAATTGAAATAATAATTGTTGCAATGATTAGATACAATAGTGTGGAGTATTCTATATACATTAATTTTATTCTTTGGTTCAGACCAAGAGGCTACATAACTGAATT